ATAATAAAAATTAACAAAAAATGTGACTTCCAACCAAACAAAGAGAAATGAATTATATGATGTTAGATTGAGAGTTTTTTTGGTGGGGGAAAGAGAAAGGTACGTAAAGGAGGGAGGGTTCTTCTCAATTTATAGAGATGATAAACAGAGAACTTCAAAGCTAGTTTGTTGGGCGTGTGTTCCCTGCCATTGATACATGTTACGAAATTGAAGTAAGGGAATCAGAGAGAGAGAGAGAGAGAGGAGTTTGGGATAGCAATTTTAATACTTCCTATATATTATTCATATCATTTATTTAATTTTTTTTCTATTTGTATTAATTACATAAATATTATTAAATTGATTTTAATTTTGGAGTCACCATTTTAAGAAAATTTCTTCTTAATCACCACCGTAGCATGAGAGATTAGTCCCACATACTCAATCAAAGACAAAAACGAAAAATATTAATATAATTATTTTCATTTTAAAATTAAAAATGAATTTTTAAACAAGTTCTTACAGTTACAGACATATGTGATTTGGTGATGTCTATTTATGCATTGATTTTAGAGTGTGATTTATTTCATTTAAATCTTATGATGGAAATAAGTAAGTGTATTTTCTATTGTGGTCAGGTGGTGTTTGACAAAAATATACGTACTATCATCTACACCATGCATGATTAGAGAATTCCCAAATATAATCGTTGCAATATTACATCACGTATTTATTACTGTTAGGATTCCAATGTGTAATTGTATGTCAATTTCGAGATCACTCCCCTAAGTTAATATCTAAGTAAATTTGATAATTGTGATTATAAAGTAACATTTATTGGTTACTTCGCCTTACTGTAATGTAAATTTTAATTTCTTTTCCTACATCCAAAGAAAATAAAAGATATTATTTTCTTCTCGAAGTTAATGCGGATTCGTTTCTAGATGGATGCTTATGAGGGAAAAAAGGATGAGCAAGAGGTCGTTTCTAGTAAACAAAGAACAGTGAGGTTTGGCTAGCTAGGCTTGAAATTGTTGAATATGAATAATCAAAGCCCAAATTGAAGAAAATGCGGTCTTTTTTTGTTTGTTTGAATCCTTACTTTTTGGGGCATGCGTGATAAATATTTTTGTTAATGCTCTTGTTCTAGTCAAATGTAATGAGCAAGAGGTCAATTTAGGTTTATTGGTCCAAGGATGGGCACATGCTGTTAACAAAGAATAACATTTGGTACAATGTCAGTACTTTCAGCCGTGGCAGGTTGGCTGAAGCTATTTTGTACTAGCACTTTTGGCTTTCGTGGGGAGACCGATCATTTTGTCAAATTTAGACAAAAAAAAATTATCAGACTGTCATGTTAAATTTTGTCAAAATGTCACGTGGCATAATTCGTTACACAGTGTAGCAAATTATATATGTAAGTAATTCGCTACACAATATAGCAAAATATGTCACGTCAAAACCAAAAATGCCACGTGTTAAATTTTGCAAAATTAGCTACCCTATGTAGCGAATTTTGCAAAATTTGACATGTGGTATTTTTGGTTTTGTGTGTTCTGACGTGGCATATTTCGCTACACTGTGTAGCGAATTACTTGCATACATAATTCGCTACATTGTGTAGCAAATTATGTCGCGTGATATTTTAGTAAAATTTACTGTTAACATGACAGTCTGATAAATTTTTTGTCGAAACATGACACTTTGGTTGGTGTTCCGCTTTCCTGTGATGCAGAAGCATGGGTATGTTCGAACAAATTGTTTGGGACTGTGTTTCCACACGGATGAGTGATAAAATTATTCTTTTGTTATTGAAAAGTTATGGTTCGAATAGTCTAAAATATTGAGAATTAAATTATGTTATTAGAAATAAAAAATAAAATAGTGGCACGGAAGGCTTAATTAAATTTAAAACAAAGAAATATATTTATTCACTCAAATATATATTACATAATCTCAATAAAAAGAAAAATATTACTATCATATAATTCCTTATACATATATAATAAAATAGCCACATAAATAAAATATTAAAAAATAAAAACAAAAGAGGAAGAAATTTATTGTGTTTATAGATCATTAATACAACACTGCCTCATTCCGTTAAAACTAAATTAATAATCAAATTCATAGGAGGATGATTAGAAAAGATGAAAAAGATAATAAAAAAATATTTTATTAAAAAATAAGGCAATGAACTTAATGTATTATTTTTAAAATGAGTCAGGTTAAAGGAAGACCATATTATAAGCCCGTAACAAACTATTTGATTCATTTACATCCTTAGTTGTAGTTTTAGCTGACAAGAAATGATATGTAGCTATAATAACTCCGACGTTTAAGCCTCTATACGAGTGAAATGAAATTTGTGTAGAGAAGGGATTAATTAGTGTCTAAGGGTGAGTAAGTTGAAATTGCTCCCGCAAGGCATGTAAACCTCTATTTTAGGGAGAAGGATTTAGCCTCCTATAAAACCTTGCTTTTGCACAAGTTCGTACATGGTCACAAAGCATATGTAAAATAATGCACATAAATTTTCAGGTGTTGTTCAAGCATAATCACAAAGCGAATTAATGGGCTTATTCTCTGACTATGAATTTCATCCATAACAGTTATTGAAAATAGAAATGAAAGTAAATAGAAAAGTACTAAACAGTCATATTTTTTACTAAATTTTTTGTCAAAATGTGTTAGTATTAATATTTAATCTTTGGTAAAGGAATGATAATCACTATTTTAACATCCATTAGCTAACCTAATTTTTTTTGTAAATTCTTATTAAAATCTGTTAATGTTTTTGGCTATATAAGTCGAAGTAAACTGATGAGAGTCTGAGTTCTGATATTGATTAAATTAAAGTATCACAACAACAAAATGAAGTTAAATTGATTTGTTTAAACTTCATTACAATGCAAACATTATTTATAGATAAATTTTAAATTCTTTTTCAAGAGATCCATCTGCTTTTAAATGACATTTTTAGTTTTTGACTTTCGCAATTCTAAACCAAAAAGGATACTATATATAGTGTTGGTAATTGAAGAGAATAAAAATTATAATTTGAATTTTAATAATAATTCTTTGTTTCAAAATTAATAAAATATTTTTCTTAACATAATATTCTATTTGATATTCATACCAATATTATAAATTTTTAACAAGAATGCAATATTCATATTTTTCTTAACGAGTTTTGTGAACAATTATCCTTTTTTTATTGATTAAAAGAGTACTTATACACGTGTGTTAACAAACAAAATGTTGTCTACCAAAAAAAAAAAAAAAAAAAACAAAATGTTAGCGAATATACGGAGTTTTACATTTATAGATGTTTATCCCTTTCATAATGAAATTGAAAAGTTATGGCATTATTTTATTTTAAAAATGTAAGTTTTTCAGTAATTTTTAGAGTTCTCTCAAAAACAAACTTTAAAGTTTTAATGCTAAAAATCTGTGCGATCAGAAATCAAAAGATTAAAGTTTGTGGTTGGAATTTCTCTCTTTTTCTTACACTATCAAATGTCAATACCTATACCTGTGTCATATTTATCATAACCATACTAACTATAAATTATTATTATTATTTTTTTATTTTTTATTTTTTTTGGTACATATTATTTTTTATTTTATTTTACCCCTTGTTATTATCACCATGATTGAATGGGATGTGAGGATTAAGGAGATGATTAGGGTGACATCATTTAATTTAAGTTTTTAATACAGTTATATACTCAAAAGTTAAACTTGAGATCATTAATTAAATTAGAGTAATCTTGGATCAATTGATTCACGTATTTGGGTATAAAAATACTTTTATTTCTTTGGGAAAATAATTTTCTTCCTTTAAGAAAATAATATTGTAAAAGTCTCATTTTTTTCCTTTAAGAAAATAATATTGTAAAAGTCTCATTTTTTTTTTGGAGATATATAAGTCTCATTATTCCTACCATGTAAATCTAAGAATTAATCTTTTCATTAAAAAAGAAAAACAAAATCTTTTTCTAGAAGTATACAAGATTTTTGCCTTGCTAAGCAGAGTTGTCGATAGGGATGGTAAATGAATTAGGGGCTTTTGATCCAGCTCATGAAGGCTTGAGCTTACATGTCTAAAATTAGTTGTTCGAATCAGGTTTGGACTTGTATAAAAGCTCATTTAATAAAAATGCCTCAAGCTCCAATTCAAAAGTTCGAGTCTTTCAGATTGACCTAGTATACTAATTTTTATTTTATATTTTTTATACTACTCATAATACCTCCCCCCTCTCTCTCTCATCAACCCATTTCACCCCATTTTATTGGTTAAACAGATTTTTTTGAATGATTTTGTTATATATTATATTGTTTGGATATATATTGAATTTATGAATTTTTGTGAAATTATTAGTGTTATTGATCATATATTTTGTTTGAATAAATTTTGTTATCTTATTTTTTTTAAGAGGTTAAACTAAATTTTTATTTTTTATAAATAAATCAAGTGACACACCAATAATTATATTTATACCAAAATAACAAACTACGCCATACTAATACATTTATACACAAATTTAACCGTTTAAGCCCAATACTGATATCGACTCGGCACGTTAACACTTGTGGCCTTGTGGGCGCATCATCAATTAAAAAACTATGAAAGGTTTCTGCTTTTTGACTCTGCTTTTCTTTCCATTCCGTCGCTCCATGGAAAAGGTTGGCCAAAAAGTACAAAATCCCCACTCAGCTGAAGGACGATTTGTTCTAAAATATATCGTTTCTCATTCTCAGTCTCGGATCCCCAAGTTCAAACTTTCTTGTACGTGATAAAATACAAAGAGAAATTTGGTAAGAAATCTAAAAGGAAACTCATATGACATGTCATTGTCGTTTGTCCTACAGAAAAACCCATTATCCATCACAACTTTTGTATCAAACAAGTTCAATGAATGATTGATAGTTCTTTATATTTTTTTTCTTGGTCATAAAAAGAAACCCAAATAATCTACGTAACAAAAGATACACGACAAACGCAAATAATTGCCGGATCTGTGGACAATCGAAGACAAAACAGCAATAATAATAGTTAAAAAAATAACTATAACTAAACAAAGGGTTCCTGGTTTATTCCAATTCCATTTCCTCCACCAAATAACTAAACCGTCTTTTTAACTCATGACCCAAACTGGACTTAAAAAATTTACAAATGCTGATAGAGAGGGAACCATTTCTTGAAATCATTGACTATGCTTATGCTACCTTTCCCCTGTTTTCCTCTTTTATGTCTCCCACATACTCCGTTCTTTGCTCTCCTTTCTCTTAGAGGTTCTTGAAAATTACGTCAACTTGGAATTTTAATACGGACACGTTAGAATTATTATGAGGATTCATGCCAATCTTTCAGATTTTCTGAAGTTCCCAAAATTTTGGAAACTTGGAATGACACCCTGTGTGGTGAAACTACTAGTGATATTTTTCCATTCCCCAAGCGAAAAATCCTCCACCTTGTTAATAATAAATTACTCCACTGTGGTCTCAATGCATGCTTGCTAGCTTCCAAAGTGTCAAAGGTTGAAATCATTGGCTTTTTCCTTGTATGTTGGTGGCTATGGTATGTGAATTTTACAAACCAAGGAGTATGTAATAGATTAGAGTAATTGGAAGGGCTATCAACATCCCAAATATAACCCTGCAATTCAATTTATAATTAAAAAAAAAAAGGTCAATTTCTTTCTCTAAGACAAAGAGAATGTGAGGAAGAAAATGAGGTTTTGATTGCTTACGCTGTACTAAGAATTGTTGGATGGACATTGTACTCCTTTGCAAACACAAACGGAACAATCCCTTGTGGAAGTGCAGCCTATTAGTAACCACAGCATTTCCAAAAGTCAATAAGGATATAGAAACTTCACGTACAAACAAAAGCAAAATAACTCAAGACTCCATCATAAAATACTTTAGTAATTAATTAGAACTTCATGCTAAATATTATAATTAAGGAAATAACTGAAAATCCAAAGAATTTAAAGAGATTGAATTTCCAAGCATTCAGCATCTCGATAGTGTTAACATAAATATGAGCATTCGAGATATTAAAAGTATTAAACTTCTCATATTTTACGCTTTGTTTAACCTATTTTGTTAAGACAAATATGCATGATAAGAAGTTGAAGTTGATAACCTGAACAATAGCTACATGTAGGAGGGTACCACGGAGGCCAACGGCGATGGAAGCTGCCGCCATAACGGCTGGGCCGGTAAGGAATCTAACAGCCATGGCAAATGTGGCAACAGAGTTCCCACAAGCAATTATTTTGGGTTGAAGAGCCATAAACAGACCTACAATAAAAATATCAAACCTAATTAATAAATCAAACTGAAGGGTAGGAAAAAAATAATAAACACAGGGCATCAATATTAAAAAAATAATATTATATTCAACCCCCTTTGCCTAATTAGGGTCCAAAATGGTACCCGTCACCACCACCGTTTCTGGACTGAAAAGCGACGTAGTTTAAGACCGGGCCCCACTTGTCGGGGACATCATGCTCAACAAGTGAACATGATTATTTGGTTATTACTTGGTAACAAACATCACGAGAATGGACGGCTATGACTTTGTTTACTTTGCCCCAAATCCATGCTTTTCAAATTTTCATAGATTCATACCCTTTCAATCAAGTTGTTCACTGTAAATTTTTAAAAAATTATTAACATAATTTGAAATGAAAATACGCATTCATTTTACTTTTTGCACAGTTACAATGGTTAGGGTGGAGGCAACACATAGTATAACTTTCGAACGATCTGATACTATGTTAAGAATTTTAAAATCATCATTTTAAAAGTGTTAGTTCAAAGGGTGAGAGTGCTCAACGCCTTGTAAACCTCACATTAGTTGTATGGACAATTAATGTGGGACTATATTTTCCAACAAAAATAATAGTAAATACACTAATAGACACATAACATTTTATTTTCTGAGTCTAAGAAAATATACACAGGTCTACACCAGAAATGGGAGCCACTAAAATAATGTTGTTTATGCAAAAGAGGAAGCAATTGGTGAATAAAAGAATGAAATTATTGTAGGAGCGTAGGAATTTGGAGAAGTGGACTTGCGACCACTCACCTAAGCTGAACATAGCCATTCCAAGACCAGCATCTGACAGTATCGAAATTGATTTCTCTATGATTTTGGGCATATGCACATGCCACCTTCATGTCATTAATCATGAACAAACAAAAAAAACCATTTCAATGACCAATAATAATTACGTTACTGTAATAATCAAAAGTATAAAAATAAATAAAAAAACAGCTAAAATTGTTGACTTTGATTTACTTACCTGAAGGCAACGAGAGACCAAATGACACCAATAAGGCTTGAGTAAGTGTTAGGATTGCGAATAAGCTTCCTCCACACCATGATAAGTATGAGACGAGTCATGACACTCGCCGGAGGCATGTGTTTGGCAACACCAGACTCGGATGCTCCGACATCTTTGGGGTGGAGCTCCGCCGTAGAGGTGGAGCCCAGCTTGTTGTTAAGCCCAGTGGGCCCCTCTTTTTCTTTCTCTTCCTCTCCTTGTTCTCCCCCCTTTCCCGGGAACTTGAACTCTTCCTCACCAAGTTCCGCGTCTACAGCACCTTCAATTCAACCCCAATTATTACACAATCACAACACCAATCAAATCTCATCATTCCATAAAAAAATAAAAAAATAAAATAAAAATAAAAATTATTAGCACCTTTATTATTGGTTTCCCCATTTTGAATATGCTCATCAGCCACCATCATTCTAATCTCTTTAGCACCCTGATCGGATTGTTCGGCCGTGCCGCCGAACACGTGGCTTTCGGTAACCGGCGAGGCGCTTGAGCTCCACACAAACATGTGAAGCTCCTTAGCATCATGAGCAACCTTGCTGTTAGGCAATTGAGGTTGTTGCTGTTGTTGTTGTTGTAAATTTTGGTTTTGGTTTTGGTTTTTCAAAGGTTTGGTGGTGGAGGAGAATTCCGGGTTGGGTGTCGGGTACGAATCGGGCACAGTCTGTGCCGGGTAAAACCCGAATCTCGGAGAACTAACCGTGTGTGGCATTGTTGCAACAGAGGGTTCTTCGAAATTGGAGGGTCTGGGAGTGGGTCCACGGGAAGTGTTAACAGAGTACAAATCATTAGCAGCGAAATTCGAATGCCTTGCCTGATAACCCATCATGGAGTAGAAATCTGAATGGTTAAAATTGGAGCCACGTGGCGTCGGATTCCGGGAAGAGCTCAGGCTATAAATCTCAGCTCCGGTGAGGTTAGAAGGCCGAGGAGTCGTCATCATGAACGACCTACGCGAAGCATTCGACTTCCTCACCGTCACGTGGAGCTTCCCGTCGTCGCCGACCTCAGCGTCGGTTTCCAAAAAGTCCCGGCCGTCGAGAGAGACCACGTCGGAATCCACCTTGAAGGAAACAATCGACGCGGCGGTCTCCGGGAACTGCTCCATGATGAGAAGCTTGGCGCCGCGATACTCGAAAAGGAAAAGCAGTAAAGTATACCAGATAATGCATTGGAGGACGACGACCTGGACCATGAGGTTGCCGGAATATTCGCCGTACATGGCGATTAAGAGTGGGATTCCCATAACGAGGGTGTTTGGTAATGTGGATAGGGAGAAGATTGTAATTGTCCATTCGAGGCTTCCGTTTTTGGTGAAGTTGGTCCATAGGGCTAGAGAACAGAGCATGATGATTTTTTGAAGTGTGTCTGCTGCGATGAAGCGCAAGTTCATGGCGTAAGGGTTGTTGGTGGAGATGAAGTGGAAGGACAAAAGTGGAACAGCGAATATCGCAACGAAGCGGTTTATGCCGGAGCATTGGTCCGGTGAGAATATCTTCCACCACCGCACCGAACCGTAGGCTAAGATCATCGCCACGTACAGTGGTACAACTGCCGTTAGGACTGTGTATAGATCTTTCCAACTTATCATTTTTTTTTATTTTGTTAACAGAATTCGGGGGATTGGTTTTGAGGGGTAAAAATGGAAAGAAAAAAGCCGTTAGTTAACTAACTGAAAGTTTTTGGTGAGGACGACTCCACTGAGGATGTTCTGTACTGGTGCTGCTGAGAAGATGAAGTTTTAGAAAGAGAAAGTGTCAGTGAAAGGAGAGAGAGAGATCGTGTGTGAATTTACAGAGTAGACAGGTGTAACTGGGAGATAGTATATATAGGGCCAGCTTAGGGAGGAATGGACAAGAGGAGAGGGTGGATGGGTCTCTTTTTATTCTTTATTTATTTTCCAATAGTGTTATAATTATCTAAACAACCATTTTAATTCAAAAATTTAGAAGGTAATAGTTCTTTAATAATTTTATATTATATTGTTTTAATATATTCGCATATGCAAAAGTTCTTTGGCTATTTGTTTTGATTTTACTTTATACTAATTTAATTTTATTAAAAAATAAGGACGATGAGAATTAAATTCATATTTTATAGTTATCATTTTAATCCATAAACTTAATCTTGAAATAGCAGGTTTAGAATGATTTTATATTATATTTTTAAATAAATTATAATTATAAAATTTTTATTTTTCATTTTTAAAATATGTAATATGTAGTTGAATTTATTGGAGCAGGTTATATTTATAAATTTTTTTGTTTACAAATTTTTATAAATTACACTATCTTCTTCTGAGAAAATTATCTTCTTCTGAAAGAACATAATACAATGTGCAAAAATTTATAAAAAAAAATTATAAATAAATCCTCTCTCACAATTTTTTTTTTTTTTGATACGAGGACTAGATAAGAGTTAAGGGCACGAGGGCAGGGCCCATGGCAGCTGCAGGAAGGGTGGGTTAGGGAATAAGGAGTGACCACTATGGTTATGTTAACCAGACTTGGGTTAAGATTCATGTAAAAGGTTGTGGCTGTGCTGTGAGCCTATAACCTATGGGTCTTCGGTGGTGTCAGTGGGTTCTTCAATCGACGAGTACAACCTACTTGTTTCCGTTTTTTTTCCCCTTTAACTCTTTTTTTTAGTTTTTTTCTTTTCTCCTAAACTTAGAAGGTAACAGTTGTAAAATTTGGAATATTAATACGGCAACCCAAATTTTTATAAGACTGAGTTGAACAAGAGATGATTGGGTATACCGAGAGTATTACACTACTCTATGAATAATGTAATACGTACATGGGCAGTATATATAATCATACACAACATTGAATCAAATAATAAAATAATATCGAATTAAATTATATGGTTACAAAATTATTCAGGGTGTTACTCTAAAAGTATTTAATTTATTTACTAAAAAAAGTATTGAATATTTTTTAGTTGAACATAAAGAGTAATATTTATTTTTTTTTACGCAAAAAGTAAGGGTGCGCATGACAACCTTTCCGGAATCAATTTTTTTTTTTTAATTTCTGTTTCAGGGAACATAAACGGATAGAAAACTCGTTTGGTAAAATCGGTTTATTTTTTTGTTCCCGGGATGAACCGGATTAATTTTTGTGCTGGAAAACAGAAAAAAGAATCAGAAAATTTCTGTTTTTTTTTTTTCCGGACACAAAATGAAAAACACTTATCTCTGTTAATCACTCTCCATCTCTACCATCATCACCACCACCACCATCATCTCAACACGATCACCGCCACAATCATCGTCACCGTCGTCGTACCACTAGTGTTGTCGTGACCACCCCCCACCACTACGATGCCACCGCCACCATCACCACCACCTCCACCCATCACTACCACCACTGCAACCACCACCACCACCATTATCACTGTCACCGTCACCACCACCATCACCACTATCGCCACCACCATCATCGCAACCACTGTCGCACCGCCACCATCGTCATCACCACGTCACTGCCACCACTACCACCGCCACAACGCCACCGTTACCATCACCATCACTGTCACCAACCACCACTATCATTGTTGCAGCCACCACCGCTGCCACCACTAACCACCACCACCATCGTCACAGTCACTACCATTACCACCACCACCGCCACCATTATACCACCACCACCACCACTGTCACCTACCACCACCATGCCACCGCTACCATTGTCGCCGCCACCAACCATATATGCCACCAACAACCATCCCCACCACCATTGTCACAGCCACTGTTGTCACCTCCACCACCACTACCACTGTCGTCGCCACCATTACCACTGTTATCGTCGCAGCCACTGTCGTCACAAATACCACCACTATCATCACCGCGTCACTGCCACAACCATTGTCGTACCGTCGCCGCCTCCACATGCCACCCCCCGCCGCCACCACCACCACAACCACACCATATGGAAAGGAAAGTGATGATCTGATTTTTTTTATATTTAATAGGAATTATTTTTTATTATATTATTTGTTATGTTATCAAACGCAATTTTCATTCTTGGAATAAAAATAGAACATGTTATCAAACACATTTTTTTCTCAGAAACTATTCCAAGGAATAGAAATAGAAAAGAATTATTATTTTTCAGAAACAGTGTTGGGGAATAGAATGGTTGTCATGCACACCCTAAATAAGTTGAAAGTAAAATATTAATTTGAACAAGGTAAAAGCTTACTTTTTTTTTTCTTTAACTGATTTTTCCTTGTTTAAATCAATAACCTCATGAACCGATCCGCTAGCTAGTAAATTTATCCTTGTCCAAGTTCTGTATGCAATTGTTATTGACATATCATAAAGGTTGATATTCTAGAATGTCTAAAAAGGGAACAATTAAGAGAAAATTAAGAAAAGACTCCTTAATTGATACAAATCTTAGTGCGATAGCAATTGGTCAAGTATTGGATTCCCAAAAAAGCTATCAAAAGTTCAAAATTTATGATCTGTAGGTAAAATTTATAAATAAGAGATAAAACATACAGATATGATACTCTCTCTATTTACTGTTACTGTGCACACATGTCACACCTTGGCTAGGTGATTACTTTATCATGTGTATGATTATATATATATATATATATATATATATATATATATATATATATATATATATATTGTCATGTATGTATTACATTATTCATAAATGATTTGCTTACCTTTAAAGGTATCTTCTCTATAAATATTTGAGAGAGCTAATAGATCTAAGATATACTCATTAATTTTTGACTAAATATCTCTATATAAAGCATCAACTACAATGATATTTAGTAAGAAAAAGAAAATAGGGGTTGAGAATTAAGTGTTATACACATGATTGATGTGAGGGTATCTTTGTCCTCCAAATTAACTATATTCTCTTACATTTATACTGCTAGCTAGCTTAATTTGCTGATTATAAATACTGAGACTTGCACCAACATTAGATACAGTTTTTTTAAATGTCTGTCTACTTTACATGATATCATGAGTATCCTTTTACCTTCCAAAAAATTTGAATTGAATATAAACTTTTTGAAATTAGAATATATAAAAAATAGAGTTAATTAATTGATGATACAATTATATTAAGAGAGTATGAATTTAGATGGGGGAAAATCTATACATGATTGACGTGTAATATTGACCCGCTTGCATGAATTGTGTTTGACATAAATAACCATTTAGATTTTAAAGAAAAAAAGGAGAAAGGTAGAAACTTTAAACATTGATTAGAGCATAATAAGATATGTAATTACTCTATAAAATTTTATTAAATGTAACTGTATACTGAGTAATATAAGTGATGAGAGCCTATCCTTTTACATCTATCGTTTTAAGGTCTCACAGGCTAAATATATAGGCAAAGTATTTCTTTCTTTTTTTTTTTTTAATTTCTCCAACGGTTCATGAATTATTCAATTAATTTAGTTCGAGCAGGCTAAAATAGAATAATCATGTGTCAATTGATTCATGTGCTTTGTGGTGTAAATTATCTCTTATAATAATTTGAACAATCCTCCTTTTTTTATCTTATACTTTTGAGATCAGTTGAGTTAGGTATGTTCTCAAGTTTAGTAAAGCATCAAACTTTAGTTTCAATTTTAGGTCACCTGCAGATACTCAATCATGGGCGTGACCATCTCCTATCTTAAATTGATTAATGAAACAAAACAGATCAGGATATAGTTCACTTAGAACAAAAGATGAAAAGACACATTATTTTGGAGGCGAGGTGTGTTTTATAACCTGTCTTGCATGAAAACTAACCAAATATAGTTCTTGTAAGCATAGCACAACTAACTATAATATACTGTGATAAGGAACGCGTACCCTTAAGAGTGAATACCTGAATCTTATTGATAAGTTGCATGCCTTACACATACCTTTGGTGAGGTATTTATTGACAGAGTTAGTTAGCCACCTAGCATAACTACCAAGACCCATGTGCACACTTTGATTACACGTAATCTGAACCTATACACATATGTAACTAACTATCAAACATGTGTGTCACCATACTACTATATGAAACAACAGTTTACACTTTGTAATCATGTACATAATCCACAGCCCACGATGGGGGCCCTTTAATCCTCAAACTCTTCTCTCTCAACACTTTATCGTAACATCTGCCCCTCCTTTAAGAGTTACCTTGTTCTCAAGGTGAAGAGCTGGATAAGCTTGGCGAAGATCCTCTGCATCTTCCCAGGAAGCATCTTCAGGAAGAGTTGCTGACCACTACACCAAAAATTGAAGCACCTCCTTGCCACGCTGCTGCACATGTCTTGAAGAAAGTACTGCTACAGGCTCTTGAAGAGGTTTATTCTCTTTGCTGGTGATAGGTAGGGGCTCATGAGTAATGGGTGTTGAACCATGGAATGGTTTCAAGGAAGACACATGAAAGGTGGGGTGAATCAAGCTCCCTGGTGGTAAGGACACTCGATAAGCCACAAGACTGATCACCTTTTCAATGCAATAAAGGCCGAAATAGCGTTTGGCTAATTTGTGATTGGCACGCCACACAACAGAAACTTGACGATATGGTTGCAGCTTGATAAGAACTCGATCCCCTACTTGAAAAACTC